TTTAAGATAAACTCGAGTGCTGTTATTCAGATTTACTGTCCATACTGGCGTCTGTGGTGTAGCGGTTAGAATCTTCGCCGACACACACAGAGGATCCGAGTTATATTCCTGTGTGAGGAGAATTTTTATCGAGTAATTCCGTCTTTCAGCTTGGACGTTGTATCTTTCTCAGTCTGGGTGGCCCTGATAGGTAGGGCCGAAGCCTTCCTCCTAAATGAGGAGTTAAAGATATGAGAGTATAATATTGTTGGTGCAGTTATTGTTACAGCTGCTGTTACTGTTGTTGTTGTTGTTGTTGTTTTTGTTGTTGTTGCTGTTGGTGGTGGTGATGGTTGTGGTGATAATGGTTGTGGTGATAATAGTAGCGACCGTTGTTGTGTTGTGCTGCTGATGATGGTGGTGATGGTGGTGATTCCGGGAAGGGTGAAAAATATAAGATAAAACTATCCATTCCTTACACGAAGAAAATTCCTTATAAAAATTAAATCTGCTGGTTATCATGTCTAATATTCGTTATACATCAGGATGTATATTTAATACCCTCATTATCAAATTTTCGAATGCATGTAGGTGTACGTAGACACGTATAGGCCTACATACGTGTACAAACATACATACACACGCACACACACACACACACACACACACACACACACACACACACACGAACGTAAGGGCGACTCACAAACATACACAGACACAATAATACAAACATACAGAGAGGAAATGAAATATATAAGCTCACCTCAATCAACAATAGCTGCATGTTTGCTGTGGCTATCCTCCTGCCTAGAAAAAAAGAAATAAACAGTCTGATCAACAACCAATCAGTAGATCAAACACTGTTTTGTCTACCAGCATAGCCTATGTTTGACCAACAGACCAACACATTGCAGTACATCAAAAACAGGAAGAAATGTATTGTTGGAATCACTTGTTTACACGAGCAGCTCGTTTAACACTTTACATTGTGGCCTCAGAAACATTGGTTAGAATGGAAAAGGAAAAGAAGCTTGCAGTACTTACCTATACAGCTTCTTTGTCCCCAGCCAAAAGGAACAAAAGCAAACGTATTGGTAACCTCTCTGTCACGTGCAGTTCTCATCCAGCGTTCTGGTTTGATCTCCATAGGGTCCTTGTAGATATTCGGGTCTCTACCGATAGCGTACAGGGGCACTGCAGTGGTCGTCTGAAAGTTATGATAAAAATGTGAACATCGGGTGCAAAGAACGGGTGTGGTGTGCAGAGATTTTCTTTTTTGAATTACGTTTTCTTCATTGGAATACACAAGGATATTAAAAGAACTGATTTGTTCCTCACTCAAAGCCCCTTTTTATGTCTGTGAATAGAACTTTGAAATCCAGTGAAGAAACAAAAGTAATATCTACCACTTAAAAGATCGAAATAGGTCTAGATTCTAGATTTTTAAAACAAAAATCGGAAGGCAAAAAAGGGCAATTTTAAAGAGATTCGGATCGAAGGACGTCCGAATAATGAGAAAGAGCTTTAGCGAAAAGAGTTGCACTTGTGTCAGAGTAAAACGTTCTACTCGACACATTAAATGGATAACTCCAAAGTCTGGTCGTGCAGCATGTTTGACTGGGTCAGAGCCTGGGTCAACCGATCGTGATACCTTTAAGCCTTTCGATATCCTCCGCATAATTATTCAGTGCTGGGTAATGGTAAGGTGTCTTTCACAAGAAAAAATGGAGATTAAATCCTCATGTGGAAAGTCTATTTTTCCGAATATTTCTGTCTTACTGCTGGGATGCAATAACCCACAAGGCACGGATTGGCCTTTACAGGCAGGGCCAAAGCAAGCATCTAAATTGTGTCAATGGTGCCATTAAACATTCGCAATGAATCAATCACTGTATACAAACATGTTTACACTCACCCCCGGGGGAACCTGATAGCCACAGATGACGCCTCCATTCTCTAGCTCACGCCCTGTCATGAAGACCGGTGGATGTAACCTACATGAAGAAGACGAAGAGGAATATAGTCACAAGTGTAATTATCCCTATGGTCGTCGGTAAAGGGGTGCGGGAAGGTGTTGTGTGAATGGTTTCGTTGGGAGGAAGATGTTGGGGGAAGAGTCGCCCGAAGTACTGTCAAAGGTACGGTCACCCAAAGCACACAGATGCATGTTCGAGGGATTAAAGTACACATTGGCTTGGAGTTGTGAACAAGAAAAAAAAAATGTCAAAGAATCGAAATGGACAAACAAAATTTTAAAAAGTAATTTTAAAGGAATTTGACTCCAGGTGTCAAGAAATCCATGGAAAGATTTTGTTATTAATTAATGTTTCTAACTTAATCAATAATTGTAGAGTTCTTTTGTCCACAGCCTATTGCTTGAACAGTATGCGAGGAGAGTAATCTGTAAATTTCTTTACAGAAGACTGCTCACCTTAGGATCTCTTTCAAGAATCCGGTCGTGTATTTGAGACGGCCGAGAGTTGAGTGTGAAACTTCTTCAACTTCTCCTACAACAGTC